GCCGATAGTGACCGTGTGCCCTTGGTGTCTCCGCAGGCGCTGCGGCGGGAGGCCGGCGGGCTCGGCGGCGCGGCGCCGCTCTGCACCAGGCCGGGTGGCCCCTCCGCTCGGCCCGGAACGCGTAAGCTCCCTCTTCCCTTACCTGCTCCTGCTGCCGCCGCCCGGGGCCTTCGCTAGGCCTCAGGAGGGGCCTTCGTTATACTCGTCCCAGTAGAAAACAGCCTTGCGTGTTGCCAGAAATTTTACAGCGATGAGTGTGGTGTGTTGCCTTTTTGTAAAGAGGTGCAAAACTTAATTTCAGGTGTCACAGGGTCCCCTTTACCCTTTGGAATGTACCTGCTGGGTCAAAAGGCACCCCATTTTACAGACAGAGAAAAAAAAGAGAGAAAGATTTGCAAAATATTCATATCTGCTCCCTCCAGCAAAGTTGAGAAGCTGCAGAGAAGTATGACATCCCTGTTGGATTAAATTTAGTTGTGATGCTCATGGCCCCCCCATAGATTTTCAGACTGACCTTGCTTTGGTTTTTAAAGTGCATTCAAAGTTTAGGGTCCTTTGAACCATTTCTGTCTTTGACCAAAGCCAAAATATGAATAGATATATGTGAGTGTGTGTATAAAGGGGAATATTATGTGCAAAATGTGCCATTGGTAAATAGTTACAAAGAATAAGATTCTTATCCAGAATTAGAGACCCAGGTGCTAGAGCAGCAGAGCTCTATGGAACCACATGTAGGAATAACTGGACTTGCTGACAGCTCTTGAAAAAGATTTCTGAAAGTGGCTGAAGGCAAATAAATGCTTGTGGGTTCCATTGGTAAAACTTTTGCTGCATAGAGTGGTATAAGCCTGACCGAATAACAGATTGTTGTGACAGCTTATTTGATGCTTTAGTTTGAGGTATAACAGGTAAAATAGCAAACATGCCACTTAAGCAGCAGTTTCTGGATTCTTTGCTCAATAGCTGTCTGGTTTCAGAAGGTGTCAAAAGACCTATTAGGCTACCTCTTTAAACTAGTTGCTCTTCCTCCTCCCTCTTCAAAGGATTAAGGTTAGTTAAGTTGTACAAGCTGCAGACTGTCTTTTTTTTTTATCCCAACTTTGAGGTGGGGTAGCCTGTGAAAATTTTCTTTGCTTTGGTAAAGTGATCATGTTTACTAATGAAATCAGTGATGGGGGATAGACCTGAAATTTCTGGATACCAGCTTTCTGAGCGGGAACATGTTTTAAAGTCATCCCAGTAGTGACGCCCTATTCTAAGTTACAGCCCTATTCTAAGTTACATCTGGGAAAAATAAATACTTTTATTACTGATTTGGATATGTTGTTATTTTGGCAGTCACTTCAGTTTTGTAATAGCCCAGTATAAATCAGGTGTTACAAAGTTTGAAATACTTCAGCTGAAAAAAGCTTGCAGTACAGAATGCAGCCATGCTCTCCAATTTAGTGTCCAGTTAAAATGCCTGGATCAACAATATTAGATTATCCACTTAAAAGTTGAAAAAATGTATTTTCTTCACATACCCCAACACTATTGTTTAGAAGAGTCATTAGCAGCCTCTACTGTTAATGCTCAATTTGAGCATTAATCTGCCTTCTTGGTTTCTTAAGATGTCTTTGCATTAATACTTCTCCAGCTTTTTCTCATGTTTCACTTGTCTTTCTTCTCTGGGCATTATTGCATGAGCTTGGCCTTCCTGTGCACTTCTTTGCACTGAAGAACTCTTTGGTCTTGGGTGATGTTTCCTCAAATGTTAATTTCTACAGGCTGCTATGTTTGACTGTGCCAAACTCTGCAGGATTCAGGCTTCCTTCAAAGGTGGCTGTCACCTTCGAATCCTTCCCCAATTAATATAAGTCACTGTTTCTCAAAAATGCAAGTTGCTACTAATTTGCAGTACATTACTTCCAAATCAGGAGTTCCAGCATCTGCCAAATTCATTCCTTAATGGAAAGCAGGGGTATGGAAGCATTTGCCTCTTGCTCTAAGAGTACTTTTTGAGATCTTGCAGTTCTGTGTTGCTGCTGTATTTTGTTCTTATACTATAGACTTTTGCCCTAGCCTCAGTGTTTGAACCTACAGTCTAGTGGAGATAAGCGTCTGAAATCCTTCAAAATAATTACTTGCATAGTAAACTGATCTGTATGTGTGCTAAGAACTCTGTATTTCTTTCTTTAATACCTTATTTTTACAGTCCTGACTTTTCTGTAATGATTTCATTTGGAAATTGCTAAAGACTTGCTACTGTTCAGAACTACTTATAGAAACTCCTTAGGTTATATTAGGTATTACTATAAAATATCTGTGAGGGGAAAAAAAAACGATTACCTTGTAAAACAGATGTGGGGTTCCAAATTGTGCAGGTAGAGTTCTGCCTTATAAACTGAAAATCTACCAAATTACTGTGAAGTGGAAACATCTCCAGTCCTTATGAGGGTTGGCCTTGCTGGAGTGAAGTTCAGTGGTGATGCATCTTCTTAATGTCCTCCCTGTCACTTGTGTCCATATCTTTTCTAATGATGATGATGGTCAGTGTTGATCAGCCTCAGCTACTGAGGATCCTTAGCCCCGAGCATCCAAGGGGCACCTGATACTCCGGGAAAGTGTTTGAAAGTTGCTGCTTTCTATTCACTTATGGTTCCTTGTCTGGTGATTTTATCATAATGAAAGTATCCATGAGGGAGAAGAAATAAAGTTGCAGCATGAGGAAATGTTCTAAGACTTCTTGATGAATGGGTCTCAAAGCAAAAACACATAGTGGGCATTCTGAAAAAAACAGGAGAGAGAGTCTTTGGGAAATTGCACTAAGCTGTTAGACATGATTCAGATGGTAGATCACATGGACATGTGAACAGGCAGTACTTTTGTGTATAACATCAGGTGTCTCTTCCTCCAGTACTTGCCCCTTGGGAGTCACCTCTCCCTGCCACTTAGGAGGATGACTGCTGCAAGAGGCTGGCTCTTGTTCTTGGCTGTTTGCTAGGTCTTCTGCCTTGCTGGCTTCCTCATAGACTTTAAAACTCGTATGTGAAGAGGTTAGCTAATGAGTTATCTTAGCATTCACCTGGGACAAGAAGGTGCTTGCAAATCATTTCCAGAATTGCTGCAGAATTGAGTCAAACAGCTCTGAAAAGGAGTCTGGCCAAGCAGGGAGCAAAAGCCACATCTCATGAGTTTCAACGTTATGGGAGCAAAGGGTGCTCACTGCTAACTAGAACTCTATTTTTTAATATCTGTACAAAAATGTAGCTTTCTATTACATAATGTTTGTATTTAATATAATAATTGTCTTCAATTTGCTTTTTGTACCAGATCATGTCAGAAAGTTAAAAATGTATGACTAAGAACCCTAATTAATAGGGATATTAAATACAATGATGATAATCCTCTTTATGCCATTTCCTAGATGTAGTGGCACCACAGGGAAGCACCAAGCTGCTAGCCACCAGAGCAACAGTTGAAATTCCTAAAATGTTGTCTTCTAGCTCTCCCCCAGCATCTGCAAACAAAGGTGAGACTGTATCTAGTCCTAACCTCAAGGAAACTTCAGAACTTTCTGTTGAAGATCTGAGGGTGTTCATGTCAAGAAAGACTGTGGTTGCATTTCCTCAGCGAGTAATTCTTTCCTCCTCCTCTGAGGAGAAGCTCACTGAAACAGCAGGAGGCTTGAGGAAAGAGTTAGCTGAGGAAGACACGTCTTCATCCAGCTCAGATTCAGATTCTAGCTCAGATTCTGAAGAAGAGACAGATGGTGTTAATGCTCCAGAACTTGCCATTAGAACCAGAGCAGAGTTTCCAAGACAAGATTCCATTTTTTCCAAGAATGTACCAGTGAAGGTATGGGTGCTACCAAAAGAGAACTTGCCCCAGAAACACCACAAAGAATATGTAGCTAAGAAGAAGCCAGGTGGAACAGAAACTGATGCCTCCCATATCGAGCATGTCAAATTTTCTAAAACATCAGTCAGTCATAAAACACTAAAACCCAAAGTGAGAGAACCTAACAAAAAGTCAGCTCCAAAAGAAGCAGATCAGCAGAAACTGGTGTTAGAACCACATGAGGATAAAAGCCAAGACGTGACAGATGTCACTCTTAAATCCAGTTATTTGGAGAAAAAGTCCATTGCTACCAAAGCAGCAGCTGCTCAGTTGAAAGCTCCGTCAGTGACTCAGGAAGACAGAAAGCAAAAACAGATATCCAGAGGAAAAGAGAAAAAGGTGAAAGGGGTACAAAAGCCTGAAGCAGAAGAAATAACTGCTCCTAAACCACAAGAGGTGACTTCTGAAAGCACAGTGCTGGTGGCAAGCACTACAGCAAAGGAGACCATTCATGAAACAGGAGTCCAAGCTGGAGAAAACAGCACCACAATAGAGGGTACAGCTTTAAATTGTTTGAACTGTATTGACTCATCGTCCCCCTAGCTCTATTTCCCAATCTAACAAACCCTTCTTAGTTACTAGCTTATGGCTGGTGAAATAGTCCTGTGCAAGCCCTCTCCCACGGTCCTACTGCTTTCATGCTGTGTGTGTCATCAGCAAGTGCCTCTGTCCTGGTCCGTGGTCGCTTTCTATCCTTGGCTCTCACCTTGGGCAGCACACTGCTCTCAAGGCTACCATTCTCATTGCTCCCTTATATTAAAAGATTTTGGCCCGCTTGGAAGTAAAGGCAGCATAACATAAAGCTGTTTGGATATCACTGTTTAAATGTCTAACTAGGTTAAATGACAAATAATTGCATTTGCTGATAATTTTGCAGGATACAGTGAGGTGTCAAAGAACTGCCTTTTGTTTTAAAGGGTTATTCAGTTCATAATCTGACCTCTTTATAGCTGTAAACTAGCCTTATCTTTTTCCCTGGTCCCAACTCCAGTGGTAAAATGCAGCACTGCTTTCAAGTACCATTTCTATTTGCTTGCTTCTCCTTAGGTCAACAGAGGAAATCTTAAAAATAATTTGGAAGATGCTATTTGTAGTTATTTACAGATGATGCTTCTCTTCCCCTTCATCCACAGTGGTGCTCTAGATGCTAAAGCATTAAGGGTTTTTATTCTCCATTGGAGCAGATAGTAAGAATGTGTTTGGTCAGCCTGCAGTATGAAAAAGGGAGGGAGTACTTGCCCCTAAAATGTGTTGATGATTTAAGGTGAAGATTATGATAATTTGCAGGTCTCTTAAAGAGTAGCTGCTATTCTGATATACTGTGAATCCAGATTAAGCCCACATGACATTTTTTCCAACAGGTTTGTACTGACCACCCATCATGGGCACAACCTCACCAGCACAACCCTTTAGGTAGACCCCACTATGCCAAAAAGCTCTCTCTGTTGTTGAGCTGAGGTTAGTATAGGCAAGGTCACCCCTCCACTGCCAGCAAAATGTGTGGGTGTCAGAGGGTAGTGAGGAGTGGAACCTGTCTCAGCAAGGTGCTCAGCAGCCTCACTCATATCTTCAGGGGTATCTTGTTCTGCTTTCCTTTTGAGGTCTTTTTGAAACCAGCTACTGCCTTTCTGTGTTTAATATTCACCAGCAATGATCTTTTCTGTATTCTATGCTAATGTTCCTGTGTTTAGCTTATCTGAAAACTCTGCAGCAAACTTACCAAAGACATAAAGGCATTATTTTTCCTATTGTAAAGCTGAAGTTAAGGTAATGTCATCCACTTTGTAATGCAGCCTTCCTGAGCAGTCAGCAAAAACTGGATTTGTCTGTAACTGCTAAATAAGTAGCAAAATACAAGCATGGTAACTCAAAAATACACCTCTGATTCATTTTTCAAGAACATCCTGTGAAATTCTGGCTCTTAAAGCACAGATGAAGTCTGGGGTGTGAGGGGACTGAACTCAGGAATAAATTTTTCCTTTGCAAAGCCAAGTACAGTGAATTTGGGCAGTAAAAATGAGAGTCCATCTGCTTTTCTTCCTGAGCATCTGCCTCTTGATTTGGAACAACTGTCTCTGGCAGGTTGAATGTTGGCTTTCCTACGCGTGCAAATACCCCATCATCTGGTTGATGTGTGTGTAATGCTTCTTCTCGGGGCTATTTGCAGCAAAGACCCCATCATCTGGTTGATGTGTGTGTAGCCCTGTCTCCTATGGGCTGTGTCAGTGGGAACTGAGCAGAAGGCACAGGGATATTTCCTTTCACAGGTTCAATGTGTGATTTTTTTTTCCAAAACTGTGGCTTATTATATTTCATTTTATAGGTGAGCCTTGCTGAATGCTATGAATGCATGCTCTTAAACTGATAGTATTGCATTGCAATAATTATGTCATAATTAAAGGGAAATTCTAGTGTTCTGTTGCTGGAGCTCTTGCATTTTTATTGCAGACTGTTGCATTACAAAAAGCTTCATAATATCTAATACAAATCACTGTAAACAAATTCATATGACAAGCTTTTTGCTATATTATGCCTATGACTTCCCTATCTTTATAACTCTGAGTATATAAGAATAAATTAATATTGGAAATAAAGCTTTTTTTTCTTGCCATTTATTTGGTAGTAAAGTCAGCCCATCACAGAAACCTTTTATGTAAATGGTATTGCCTAAATTTGCATAATATTGTAAAAGCATAAGAATTAGCGTTGGCTTTAACATGAAGTAAAAAGTTCTGAATAACTTTATTAGGATTATTCTCTTAGGAAGAATAGCTGATATAAAGTTTGGAAGATTGTATTAGAATGAGCTTTTTAAAAAGGAAGGGAAATTTATGTCAAAAGCCCTTGATACATTACTGTTGAATATGACCACATTTGAAATTAAACTCTGAAGATCTCAGTAATTCCATCGCTTATCCTCATGAAAAAAAAATCATTTTGTAAAGTACTTCTAATTGCTGTACATTGTGGTCTGACAAGATGATACATCATTTGTGCTGCTGCTTTGCCTTTCCTGGTTTGCTAAGAGTGTCAACTGCTGGTCCAGCTGAAGTGAAAACCAAGGTATCTCTAAGAAAGCCAGGAAATGCAGACTTACTTCTTCACAGTATAAATGAAATCTCTCCTCCCCCAGCATTAGCTCTAGTTTTGATTTGAAAACCGTGCCATAGTACCTGATTTGCACTGATTTGTCCTCCCCTACTGCTTACTGATGTGCTTCCTCAGAACCATGCAAGATACCAGCAGAATTAAGCAAACTTGTTCTTGTGCTGTACTTGCTGACCTTTTATTTATTTATTTTTATTTTTTAATGTTGATTGGTTGAGGGATCTGCAAGTGCATGAAGGCGGACTCTGTGATTAAGAATATTGCTGTCTGTTGTGGCATCCTGAGCATCACCAGTCGCTGTCTGTGTGTCTGTTTTTCAGAGGCAACAGCAGCTGCCCAGCCCGTGCCAGAGGAATTCGATAACTCTACCTACAAGAACCTTCAGCATCATGAATACGACATTTACACCTTTGCAGATTATAATGTGGAGCTCTCAAAATTCAGGCAGCCTCAACCATCTTCTGGAAGACCATCACCAAGGCACTGAAGGAACCACATTTAAAACAAATGCATGGGCAGAATGTTAGATTGTTCTACTTGGCAGTGTTGCATTACCTGCTTTAAAAATCAATAAATGTGTGGTAACACATGTTTTCAAACAGTGGTTCTTGGTTCTTGGGGTCCCTCACTTTTAGATTTCTATGGACGAGTTGGAAATGAATTAGCACTGAATAAAAATACATTTTCCACTTGTCAGTATGTATTATTTAGGGATGGTTGAGATAGTTCAGACTGTCCTGACTTTTCAGTGTCTGAAAATTTCTAATACTGACCATTCCTTTAGTATTGTGTTATATAGGGGCTTTTGCACATATATTTGTTCAGTATTGACACCATTTTTGTAGGTAGTTATCACTGTGAACGCAGTAGGCTGCACTCCTTACACACAAATGTGTTCCCAGCTCTGAAGAGCTTGCATTTTTTCTGTAGGTTGGAAGCAAGGCAAGAAGTATTTGTCTCCTGCAATAACATATATTTTGTGTTAGCAGATGAACTAACAAAAGTGCATGATGACATCTATGTAACGTGATCAAAACATCTCGGTGCCTCTGCTGTTGCAAAGGGGGAACATACACGTTGGGTTAATTGCTGAGGGTTCTAGCATCAGGGTTCTACAATAATTGAACTATTTAAAATGTAAGAGAGTCTCGGGTAAGCAATTCCTAATGAATTATACTACATTGATTAAACTTTGAGAAATAGCTCATTTCCACTGCTAGAACCAGTGAACATAATTTTGAAAATACAGCAAAAATAGCATTACTGTAAAACCAGGTTCCTGTAGTAGCTGTTAACAGAACTGCAGTTCAGTTCCTATTTTTGTCACAATAAAGATTGCTGTCCTACAGAAAATATGAGAAATGAGACACTGCTCAATGTATAACTCATCAGTGATCACAGTTGGTCTCAGCAAATTTTGTTTTTCCATCCTATTAGTAACAGTCTTTAGCCCACTGGGAAAACTGCCTTGATGACCACCAGCTGTTGTGGGTTTAGTTCCACTCTGGCTTCTTGTTCGTTTTGTTTTCTTGTTGTTCACTGGTCTTTGAGCAGTTGTACTTGCAACAACCCCAGCATTTTCCATCACCTGTCTGCATTCTTTTTTCAAGCAGTGGAATATGCAAGATCAAAGGAAAAATGAAGTCAGCTTTAGTAGTCTATCTGGATATGGACACAAATCCCTGTGCAATTAGTAGAATAGCAATTTTATACTGTAACTTGGTAAAAATGTGGTAAGAATGATCAAGAGGCCTCCTTCAATCTGCTGTTCAGAATTTTAAGTCAGAATCCTCTGGCAAGCAATTTTATTTGCCTGTAAAAAGCCAAACAAACAAAATGCTGACTCCAACTATGAAATTTAAAATCAGCAAATGTATAAGTCTGCATGCTGAGGAATAGAGAACAGAAAGCCATTTTGACACACCAGTGGTGATACCACGTATACTGTACTTGTAAAAGGAAAGACATTTGCTGTTAATGTTGAAAACATAAAAGAATAAGGAAATGGGTCTTCAAAATTAACCCTCTGACAATTCCTTTATTAAGGACCCACTGAAGGGCCACAGAAAAGCTGCTGTGTTTTGCCGTTGACTGAGATTCAGTGCAGTAACGTGAAGCCTGTAGTTCTGATCTGCGCTGCTGTTGAAATGTTTTTCTATTTGTTTTGTGATTATAAAAGGAAGCTGTAAATTATCAGATGGAATCTAGACAGTAGAAGTAAAAATTACATGCAGTCCATTAATGCGCTTATGTATTAATAAATCTACTCAGAGTATCTGTGATAGCTGTTTGGAGTCAGAATTGTTCAACTAATGCACTTTTTATTTCTGAGGAGGTTTGGTGTTACAAATGCTGAGTTAATCAACAAAGAATGAGTGGGTTGGAACAGACAGGCGTCTTGTTTTCACTCGGTTCCTGCAGTCTCCTTTGCCGGATTTGCACCAGTCTTCTAATCTGCATTAAGACCAGGCTTTTTGCTACCCTTATCTCCTGGTTACAGAAAAAAAATAATAAATTGTGAATGTCCTGTCTGCATTTTCAGTGTCTTGCAGTGATTTTTTTCCTAAATGCACCTTATAAAATCAAGCTGGAATGCCAAGCCAAGTAACTTCATAATTCTTCTAGCACCTGTGCTGCTTATTTTACCCACGTTCTCTTTACTAAATCAGTCTGCCCTGGAAGGGGAAGGGAAGATGGTGTTAGGGAGGGCACAGCACAGACTTCGTCCCACTGTTATGTTTTCCTCGACTTTAATAGAAAAAGCTTCACTTCTACTTGAATATTTCAGATGTTATTGTATTTGAGTCATAGGTTAACATTTAAATTTCAAGCAGGATACAATATGCTCGTGTTCTGTAATGTTACAGTAGGAAGCAATTGTGTCTAACTGCAAGGCACTTGTCAGATGTAGGAGCCTTGTTCTAAAGAACTTATAATCCAGGATATTAACACAAGTCCTGGAAAACCTCAAATGTGGAAAAAAAAACGGGGGGGGCGTGGAATTTGGTCTCAGGTTATGTGAAAAGCAGCTCTGTAAGACAAGTTAAAAAATCAGGTTGGCATTCTCGATGTAAATACTGTGTTATTGTGGGAGTACATGAAGATCTGCAGAGTGGAATGCACTAACATCTCCATAAGGGTGACAATTTTCCTTTCATTGTCTGAGGCAGTGGTTTTCAAAATTTGGAGTCCATTTATATTTTTCTAATGTAGCGAACATAAGTTCCCTGCTAATAAAATTGTTTTTCAGAATTTCCTTAAATGCTTCAGAAGCAATTTACGAACGCAGAAGGTTCTGGACAGTAGTTGAAAACTCACTAATCCAAGGAAGGTCCAGAAGTCTGCAGCAGAGTTTGTGCCGATCAGTAATTGCAAGGTCAAGATGGTGATGGTCCTAGTGGAGCCCAGTCAGTAACAGGCAGTGATGGAAACCACAGCAGTCTATAAGCCCCCTTTAGGCTGATTTTAAATTCGTGAAACAAGGCTTCTGACCGAGTGTGCTTACATATAGTCCTTGAAAAACATGTCACCAACTTTCAACAAGTGAAACACAATCAGTGTCTTTCATTTGGGTTTCCTGTAAACTCAGAAACCTTAGAAAATATGCCTGTGGTCTTTTCTCTTACCGCAAGAGATGCTATCATCTAAGCTGCTTATATAATTACATTGAGTCTGCTCTTGTATGTAATGAAGAAAATAGAGGGAATTTTTAAGTATGTCTAGGGATGCTGCACAGTTCTTTCTTCGGCTACTTGTGGAAATGAGAACACAAGCTCAGAAGAGTCGTGAGTGCTCAGATTTGCTGAAGATAATGGAAGGTTCGAACTGCTCACCTTCGTTCTGATTGGAGTGCCACCAAAGCCCTTTTCTGAACGTTGGGATTTTGTGATCTTGTGGCATTTGGGAGGAGGGGAGGAAAACTTGTTAGGGCAGCCAATGGACATGTCATTCATTCCAGTTTTAGCTCCTGGTGGATCCAGGCAGTGACTTCGGATGGCAGTACTCCTCTCTACATCTGAGTGCTTTATAGATAGTTCTTGAAGTAGTTCATATCCACTATAATAAACAAACAAACAAACAAACCTACTTAATTAACATTATATATGCTTTCTGTTCTTGTTGATTGGGTTTTTAATTTGTTTTCCCTTTGCCTGTCGTATCTCCCAGTGACAACGTGCATAGTTTTTAGTATCCATGGCAGTTGTCTACATAGCACTGGAAAGGCAACATGCAAACCACAACACAGCTCAAACAAGGTAAAGGCTGTTGTCCTGTATCAAAGAGGGGAGCGATAGTTACTATTCCCTGGAGGCTTGGAAAAGGGCTTGAATTTCTTATCTTCATGCACTCATTTTCCTAAAAGTATTTCCTATGCTTAACTGAATTTTAAATCATGCCAGATTAGGCCATTCTAAACTGTGATGGTGTTTTCCAAACTCTCTTGGAGTGAGTATCACTGAAAGTTGATTGTTTGGGAACTGGGAGAGAGGAGGGAGAAAGAAACTCGGAATATAGAAAACAGAAGGTTAATGTAGGAAATGAGAGCAAGGATTGGACAGGCTCTGGATTCATTTGTGAGCCCTAACCCTGGCTGTCTGCATAACCTTTGGCAAGTCACGTAGTTTCTTTATTTCTCGTCCTCATTTTACAGACGACAAGTTAGTGGTCCCAACGTCCTTCTTTGTACATCACATCCAGTTACATCCCACATATGGGATTCTATCCAAGTAAAGAAAGCTGGTTAACACTGAAAAAGATTTTTCTTGCATCTTCCATGTCAAGTGCACATATCGTCTAGAAATGCTGAGCCGGCTCAGGTTCTCCCAGGAGCCGCAGCAGTTACTGACACCATGACAAGAACTGCACAGAGCCTGCACAGAAATGCCAGCACTTCTGAAATCACACTCAGGCAATGGCGAGGACATTTAGCTACAAAAAAAGCTTTACAACCGTTCCAAATACTTACTAGTGGAAGACTGTTAACAGACGGGAAAAATCGGGGAGGTATCCAAAACCAGCAATCCACCCTGGTGAGAAATCCAGCTGCTGGGAAGCGGAGTGGTGCTGGAATTCATACCAGGTTGTTGTCTCTGGACACCGGTCAATGGGCGCCATCTTTTATATCACCCCCCTCAACAGCAAGAAGGGTTTGGGTTTTTAAAACTCTTTTTCTCTTGGCTGCAGGATAAGAGGAAGGAGGGTTTTTTTCCCTCTCAAATCTTCACCAAAGAACCTTTTTGGAGCCACAGGGCACACAGGGCAGGGGATGAGCGTCCCTTCTGTAGCCCATTCCTTCCTCCTGGGCATCGCTGAGGGTCAGAGCAAAACCCACGGGAGCCCACGTCGTCCCGCCTGGCTCCCCGTGTTTGCTTGCCTGCTGCTGGGCCCCGAGCTGCCCGTTTCCATAGTCTTCCTCCGTCATGAATAACTTTAGGATTTGCCTCTAGAATTAATTAATTCTTCCTCAGGTGCAGTGTTGGCAAGGCAGCATGTTTGGAAATCTCAGGAAAGACCCCCAAGCCTCCCAAATTTGAGAGGACTATAAAAAG